AAGGGAATAATAATCGACCAAAATTAAAAATAAAAAAAAGAACAGATCAAACTAATTTGTAACCAATGAGAATGAGATTGTATCCCACGTGCAGTGCAAAATATAAATGAAACAGAGAGAGAGAGCCTGTGTTTTGTAGTAACTGAGAAAAATTTTAACTTACTATAATTCATTAATAGGTTTAGTTTTAAAATTTTATTGACTTGGTTGAAGGCTTAGAGTAATAATTTATACCTGTATTCCCAGTTTTTAGAGGCGCAATTACTCAGCTTTATCTTGTAATTCATGATCAATTAAATTCTTACAACAAGTTTAGATGATTAGGGAGAGATAATATGCAGCTTAAATACTTATTTAGGTAGGTAAGATATGAACCTGAAAAACTTGGTGCATGGCTTCGATTTGCCCCCTACAGTTGATAAGGACTCCAGTTCTGTTGCAAAACATTAATTATTCTTTCTCAGTTACAGTTTGTTAAGATTTTTACTCTAATACTTTAATACATCTTCACACTTAAATTATTTAGGCAACTAAAACAATTACTAAATAATTTGTAGCTTTCTGTTACTGTAGGGTAACAATCTAAATATATGATTGGTAACTTCAACTGTTTCAGTTGAATTGTGGGGTTACCTAGGTTTATATATACAATAAGGCCCAACACCAAAACAAAGTTTTTTTTTTTAACAAACAAAAAAAAAACCACCTAGATCCAAATTTTGTCAATGGTAGATGAAGCATTTTAACCCTCCACTCCAAGCTTAATGACTGACCTAAGGATAAAATAAAATTATTCCGAGAACAATTTTTTTTTTTCTTGATCCAAAGAGTACCTTTTCCATAAATAAATATGATGCAAACAATTGTTTCCCTCACTCATCGCTCAAAGAAAAAATATTGCAGCAAATGAACAAGATATTCAGGAATTGTTCTTAAAGTCATAATTTTTTAAATAGATCTTTTCCATATTCAACCCATATTCCCTTCAAAGTGTATACAACTCAAATATGCTGGAAGGCTGAGGAGCTAGTCACCTAATGACAGGGTAACTAGCGACTTTGATGGATGGTGACCAGTACTTCTGAGTTACAACAATCCTAGAGCTTTAAAAACCAAGGGTTTTTCCATAATATAAGACTCGAAAGTTGTAATCAAGAATAAAGAATAAAAAACTCGATGCTTAAACCTGTGCGGGGGTAGGGGCGGATGTAGCCAAGTGGATCAAGGCAGAACATTAAATAAAACAAAAGGAGGGATCAAACTGATTGGAATTTTTTTACGACAATTTCAAGTTCATAATAAATGGAAAAAAATTGGATTCAAATCTGCATTGCCAATTCTAGATTCTAGTCCAAGGAGAATAGTTGAAATAAGAGGCACTCAACTAGAGATATTCTTTCCCAATTCTTTGCTTTTCATCAACATTCTCAACATACTACTGGATGAAGCAATAATGACCGACTCTGAGGTGTTAAAAGTGGAGAGAGACCAAACCATGGTCTGTTGAGAATGTTGATGAAAAACACAGAAGTGATGGAAAACAAGAAAAGGGCAGGCTCCACGCTCCACCATACTTGTAATTCGATTATTGAACCCTACGCACACTTTGCTGAAGGATGACAATGGAGACAAACCCTCACATGGTCCCACATCTCACCACTAACAGGCACAATTTTAAAAGTCGTCCAATTACTAACCCTCCTATTACGCCACTAGTTATATCTAACCCCTCTCATAACCTACAAACAACAACCGTCTTCAATTACTTAAAGCAGATGCACTTACTAAAGGAGTATGCCAGTTATCCCTAATTGAAGAAGTATAGTAAAATGACATTGGATCAAACGCATATATACGGGTAGATCACGGAGCTCGAACACGTGGCGCCACTAACTAAAAAATCCGTAGAAACAAATAAAAGAAGAACCAGTGAGACAGTAAAAGCGAAAAGTTCCAACTTCAGAAAAGAAACGAATAACAAACAGAGGCCAAAAAAACCATCCTCCCCCAACAACGAACAAAGCAAAGCACTAGCTAAGCACATAAATGTTCTCTCCTCCCAGATATAAGCAACCAGATAAAGCTCAAACTAGTGGTACAAACGAACGAGACAAAGCATCGAACTACCACTCCAACAAACAGAACAACGAACACAATCCCAAAAACAGAAAATAAAACAAAACAAAAAACAAAAAACAAAAAAAACGAACCTTGCTTATGCTTCTTAAAGGAACCATTAGAATTGAAGGCAGCTTCAGGCCTCCCTCGCTTGCGCATATCCATTGTAAGGAAGTACAGATCGAGATCGAGAAAGTAAATCGAGAAAGAAAGCAAGCAGTGGAACAAGAGTTGCAGAGATCAGAGAGAACGCAAGAATAATTGGAGGAAGAAGAAGAAGAAGAAGAAGAAAACCCTAAGTGTGGAGTCGGAGAGTTATGGCGGGGAAGGAAATCGAGGTTTCTTAAAAGCTATGGAGAAAATTAGAGAGATGGGGAATTAGCGGAGAAGGGTGGAGCCAGGAAGATATTAATAATTAAATAATTAAATAAAATCAAAATAATTGGGGGCGGATTTTGAAATTAATGTTTCAAATTGGCTCATTCTTCCCGTTGGGTTCCGCGCGCTATTACCTTACGAAAAAAGAAAACAAAAGGCGCACGTGACATGCACGTGTCACGTTGACGTCATCGAAAAGGTTGAATCCCTCTCTTTTTCCCGACCGCCAATTTTTCATTTTTTTTATTAAAATAAATTATAAAAAAATTAATGTTGGGCGAGCTAACTTCTAATTCAAATACGACTCCCCTATAGTACGACGGCCCGATGGATAGTCCGTTGAAAATTCATTTCACACCAAATTTGGTGGGCTTTCATCTTTCATATCGACGGATTTAACTCCCGACCTGCATGCCGAAACTCATAGAAATCCCGACTTTTGATGTTATGGCTCGAGACCCTATCCGGCCCTCCTCAAATATTGAGTAGTAATCAAATAAGAACTTAGAACACAAATATACACGTATGCACTCATTTGTTGAGAACGAAATAATGGAAATAAAAGAGTTTAGACGAGAGAACCAAAGAAGAGAGACACGTAAAAGTACTAAACTTCGCACCTCACTCGAGGAGAAATTATTGGATAATAGTTTTACAAAGTTAGAAGCATGAAATAAAAAACTACCAAAAGTATTTGAATTTTGTAGCCCCCGAACCATCTTGACCTCAGCTAACCCCAAAAAGCCTCTCAGTCAGTCCCTTGAATTTTTAAGAAAATACGAAGAGCTAACCAAAGACTTGGTTGTTGATAGACTGAGATATATATAAATGCTTTGCTACAACAGCACATAAGATGTAACGGCCCAAACCCACCGCTAGCAAATATTGTCTTCTTTGAGTTTTTCCTTTCGGGCTTCCCCTCAAGGTTTTAAAACGCGTCTACTATGGAGAGGTCTAGCCCTACTCCGACCAGTGCCTTGTACCATCCAGTGACTGACCAAACACCGAGCGAGGTGCCAGCGAGGACACTGGACCATCAAGGGAGTGGATGGTGAGATCCCACATCAAAGAGGGGAACGAAGTATTGCTTATAAGAGCGTGAAAACCTCTCCCTAGCAGACACGTTTTAAGAACCTTGAGGGAAAGCCCAAAAGAGAAAACCTAAAGAGGACAATATCTGTTAGCGGTGGGATTTGACTGTTACGTAAGATATACCTCACCTCATCAGGATTTCATATGCAGTGAGTAAAGAATATGTAAAAGGAACCTCGAATGGCCAGTACTGAACAAAACAATGTTGTGTTACACTCCCCCAAGAGGACCATCGAAACCTGCAAATAAGGAAGACAAGTTTCACAGGAACTGCAAGCAACAAACTATTTAGTATGTCTACTTTGTGAAAATGATGCAGTATTTCGAAGTTCGACTATCATTTCCCGAAAAATCGAACTTTTTCACTGATCTTTACAGCAGATTAGCCCTCAAATCCATGAATTATTGAAAAAAATGTAGTATAACAGCACGAGTATAGTCTAACGAGCACGAGTATAGTCTAACGAGCACGAGATGTAAAAGAATTCAAACCTATTTCTCTCTTTAAATTCTGCCAAACTTCCATGGCCCCGGGATGATGATTCACATACCGTCTTAGAAATGTATTTTCCGAACACGGAACGATGGTGCTCAACGCCAATGCAGGGTCGGCTGCTCCTTGTTCCTTGAGCCAACTATACATAGAGAACCTAAGAGTGACCCTCTGAGCTGTATAGGAAAGATATGAAGGGAAATTATTTACAAGAAAATCTATCATCAATGCCAGCTTCAACAACACAATCGAACCGCTCTTGGAGCTCTGCTCCCTTCCCTCGAAACACCTTGAGTGCTTCTTTCATCTTACTCGAGTTTTCCTTCAGTCCTAATTTCAACAAGAATCGAGTTTTCTGTTGCCTTGATCTCATTGCCTCTCCAGTATCTGGTAGCGGTGTAACTCTTGTCCCGCGCTTCCAGTTCTTCAATTCCTCTGGATTCTCTAAGATAAATCGACAAAGCTGTTTCTTCCCAACATTCAAGTTAACGAGCAAACGGTTCGTCTTTTTCAGAGTAAACGATCCCAATAGCAAGGGATGAGACTGGAAAAGGTATTGTATCTCCTGCATACCCATGTCGATTTCATTGAAAAACAAAAGGCATAGCCTTATATTCGAAACAAACTTACCAACTCGGATTCGAGGGAATTGCACGAACACAGAACATATCTGGATCAATGAGTATCCCATTTTCAGTAACAACCCAATTAAGGAAAGGGACTTACCTCCTGAATCCTCAAATAGAAAATCTGGATGTTGGCTGATTAAATCAGCCAATTTTTCATTACTGCAACCCATCTGTTCAAACCAAACGAACAGCCTAAGAATTTGTTTCCAGTTATAGGAGTTACCATCCTTCAGTCGTTCTTCAACCCAGCTTGATTCAAATCCAATGTTCTTCAATTTATCTAATACCTTGACAAACCCCTCATTAGCACCACCAACCAATAGATAAGGGCTACAAACAACAAATTTAACTACACTAGCTTAGCTGAGACCAAGTTCTTCATACACTTTCAAAGTCGAGACCAAAACGAAATATCTGAGTCGCCTCCTTGTAGATCTTCCCTATCTTATTTCGTTCAATTCCATAGCTACACAACACATTATAGTTCTCTAGCAATAAACTATCATCACTCGAGAACATCAAATCACAGGGAAGAAACGCATTATACTCTGCAGGTTGCAGGCCTGCATTCTCAAAGAAAGGCTCGAATTCATTAATCGGATGATAGAGCAAGAATCGAGTAATTGATCGCCCAGTATCGCTCTCATGTTCAACTCTTCCTAGAAGCTTTTCAAGAAAGATCGGTGAATTTCTACTCATATTCTCAGCATCCATAAACTGAATCCCTCTAGTAGAATGCAAATATTCCAACAACGCAGCCTGAGCCTCCTTTCTAGTGGCCCGAGAAATCCGATTACCGTTTCTGCTACCCCTAGTCGAAATTCCCCCGGAATTTCCACATTCTCCCGTCTGGGGAGGCTTTTTAGTTCGATAAAATCTAGGGTTCGAGGCAACAGGGGAAGATCCAATTATCCAATACATGAAACGAAATGAGTTGAAATTGTTATCAGCAATAATCGAAGAAGAAACAACGGAAATTTTTGTAAGTTTTTGCAAGTAGGACATGACAGAATGCACAATGTACGCAGTTCAAGCTCATTACATACATCAAAAATGAAATTTCAAAAGGCACCTCTTGAGAAGATTAAGAACTTCAGCTTTTTGAGATTCGAAAGTCCGACAGTTTCAGTGAAGATCGAAGTAGAAAAAAGAGAGAAGTGGCTGCTGGAATTTGTTTTGCAAATGATTCGCCGTCGAGAATTTGTAGATTGAGAATACGAGAAGTACACTGGTGGTGCCATATGAATTTTCGGGCTTTCAAATCCTTCGCCAAATTGCTACTTTGGAAGTTCGAATCATTTAAATTTTGAAGCAGACTACGATAAGCAGATGGAGCGATGAAGAACAGTTGTTCATCAGGGTTGTTGAAAAATGGTCCAAATTTAAATATAAACTAGGTCATCTCATCTCATCTCCATAGAAGAAACGTTTTAAAACCATGAAGCGGCAATAAGTAACGAACCAAAACCGACAATATATGCTAGAGATAGACTTAAGCTGTTACAAATGGTATCAGAATAAAACACCGAACGGTATGCCAACGAGGACGCTGAGCCCACATCAATTTGAAAGTAGAACGAAACGAGTGTGAAAACCTCTCCCTAATAGATGCATTATAAAACCGTGAGGCTGGACCAAAGAAGAACAATATCTGCTAGCAGTAAACTTTGACTGTTACAAATGGTATTCGAGCTAGATACCAAACGGTATATCAACAAAGATACTAGCTCCCAAAGAGGGTGAACATTTTGAAACTCCGAAGTCTAAGAACTAATTTAGTGGTAAAAGTGTAATATTTTGAAATTAAAAGAATACCCGAAAACTAAACTCAAAACTTAAAAGATTATTTTTTTTCCTATTAAGTTTATTTCTAATATATGTGCTGTAACAGTCAAACTTAGATTAAATTTATATCCAAATTATGATCCAATGTGACAAAAAAATGTCGTAGACATAGAGCTCGAGAGCGGTAGAAATCAAGCCACACTAAGTAAAAGTAATATAATAGTTGACGTCATTTCTCCATAGGATATGGACTATGAACTCGTAACTGAAGAGACTATTTTTCGAAGTTCATGGACGGTAAATGTTTTTTTCCTAATTTTTTGATGATCCAAGATAACCATTTAAATCTTTTTCGGTTAAAAAATAGAATGACAAATTGAATTTGTACGAGTAGTAAATTATAGAAAAAAATATCATTTTGGTTCTTAAGTTTCGAGTCTAGTTTCTAGTTGATCCCTAAATTTAATAAACGTTACACATTTACTGTACGAACAAATACCTTATAAACCCACACGACAAGACTTGATCCAATTAGCTTTGAATAGAGTGAATTCGTTCGCTCCAAAGCTTGAAATCCTTCACAAATTTAATGATCAATCAAGCTTGGACGATGCGATGCACAAGACATACTACATAGAATATCCAAATGATTGCAACTCTTTGAAATTCAATCTAAAAACCTTGTTGAACAAGAAAACCTTTAGATCTAAATATCTAAGAACTCCAAAACGAACAAAAAAACCACACCGAGTGAAAGTAAGATTCAAGTTACCTTGGTAATCGAATACCTCAAAACAAGTATACTTGTTTGAGATTTGAATCACTCCACAAGCAAGATTAATCAAGTCAAGCTTGAATGATTCTAAACATTCAACCTAGACTACATAGAATTGTAAAGAAATTGAACCGTTAGCTAAAGAAAGCACAAATGCTCTTTTTACTACTTTTTCCAAGCCTACTTAGCCTCAAAATAAAACCATTCACCTTCCATGAGGAGACATTCTAAGAGTTGTAGACTTCATACTTTACGACCATAATTAGCCATTATATAAATGCAAGCTTAAAATACATAACGGAAATATCATAACTCTAGATTACCATTCACCCAAAATTTGTAACTATCCAAGAACAAATAGAGCTTGATTCTTCTTTATTTAATGTGGCATGAATTGCAACCTGCGTTTGCCTTATGATAATTTGAAGAGCATATTTTCTCACAACTTACTTGAAGTTCATATTGCATGATCGAGATATCTTGGTTCATATCACTCTCGTTCCTCGTCCCTCGTCCCTCGTAAAGCTCTTGATACTCGTTGATGTGGAGATTTTGTCATTCTTTGGTTGACCCACATGGCTGACCCACATGGCAATAATGCACATTTAGTTAGTATATCTTAAGATATGCATGAAGTAACCAAGGATTATAACAAAAAGTAGGGTGTAATTGTGGATTACCACACATGATTGTCATCTCCTGTAAGGCTTAATGTGATAGTTTTTGAACTCAGAGCCATAGGTTATAGACTCTTCTTCCAGTTTCTTCTTCAATCTCCTCCAAGTTCTCAACATATCAGACTGTATCAACCCTCTGTAAAGCATCTCAAAGGTCACCTTCTGGGGAAGAAACCCCCTTTCAATCATCTCAACAAAAAATTGACAGGCCTCTCTCCATCTCTGCTTCTCGCACAACCCGTGGATCATCGTCGTATACGAATCCAAATCCGGCCCTATCCCGCTCTCCTTCATATCATTCCACACCTCTTTCAGAGTCTCCTTCTTGTCAAGATTTAGAAACAAGCCCAGTAATATGTTATAGGTATGCAAACTAGGAGCAGCACATAGACAATCCTCTCTCATCTTCTTGTACAATCTCAAAGCACCAGCCCCATCCTTTCTACCTCTGTACTCTTTGAAGAAACAATTATAAGTTGCAGGGGATGGAGAGATTCCATTTCTCACCATTTCTCCTACCAAGTTTTCAGCCTCCTCGAGTCTCCCACAAGAGCAGAGGCATTTGATCACCGAAGTATAAGTCGCCACGGTGGGGGAGATGCCAAGCTCTTTCATCTGCTTCAGTTTATCAAAGGATAGCTCCGGCTTGTGGGCACGGCTATACACATGAAGCACAATAGAGAAACTGGTCACATCAGGATCAATCCCTCTCTGGCGCATTTCATCGAACACCTTCTCTGCAGTCCTAATCGTCTGCTCAAACCTCCCCTCCGGATGCAAACTCGCCCTCCTGCAAACCCCATTCAACAAAACATTATAAGTAACCACATTCGGTTCAATCCCACGCCCGATCATATCCTTCAAAAACCTCTCCCCCATCTCAAATCGTCCAATCTTACACCACCCATATATCAAAACCGTATAAATCTTGACATCAACACCAAACTCCGCCTTCCTCTTGTTAAAAACCTCCGCCGCAACTTTCACATAGCCATACTTACAAAGGGTATCCAGTAAATAGCAAAATTCATCGGTTCGTACCTTGTTTCCTGTAAGCCCCTCGATGTCATCAAAAGCTCGAACGGCCTGGCGAGTGAGACCAGCAGAAATCAAGCGGCGAATCAGCAAGAGAAAAGTGTCGGTACCCTTGTGATCCATTTGAAGGATGAGATGCCATGCGGCGTCGAACTGGCGAACTTTGGCGAGGATGTCGATGAGTATGTTGTAGGAGGAAGTGGAGAGGGGGTTGAAGGGGAGGGATTTGGCGTAGTGGAAGAGGGAGAGGGCGATTTTGGAGTGGTGGGTGAGGCGGAGGAGGGTTTGATCGAGGAGGTGGGAGGAGAAGGAGATTGAGTGGAGCTGTAGTGAGGATTCCATGGCGTGGAAGGGGTTGTGGTGGTGGACGAGGACTTGGGAAACCAAATCGGCATCTCTTGAGGCTTCGATTTGAGGAAGAAGAGAAGAGAGAGAGCGGAGGGAGGAAATGGTTGAAGAGAGAGGGAATTTGAGCTTACAGCCATGGAGATTTCTATACGCCATTGAATTCAATTGAATCCTTACTCAGCTTTAAACGGGAATGAGATATATATATATATATTGAGACATAGTATAAAGTTTATTAATATTTCTTTTAAATTAATTTAGCTTATTTTAAATATATTTAATATTTATTTCATGCAGAATCAAGTGCACCATGCCACAATCGCACTTTTGATAGCAGCGGACTATTGTGCGTTAGTCATTTTCCAGCAACAAGTGGGTTAAGCCAATTTGTTCTTGCGTCGCCTACGACCAAGCAACGTATACTCGAACCTCTAGCCCTAATTCAAGAGGAAAGTTTTAGAAACCGGGAGTAGAAAGGTTTCAAAAGAGAGTTTTAAAAGCAATATTTGAGAGATTGAAATTAGCGTTATATGTAATACAAGCAAAAATGCAACAACAATAGCTTACAGTATATAACTATCGGGTAGGGAGAAGTTGACAACTAGTTATATTTCTATATAGTACATTTTGAGGCATTTCATGTTTGGTAGACTTAGACATGATTATGCCGAAACATCGTACTTCCTTAGAAATACAAAAGTAAAGTATTACAACTTAGAAAATCATAAACGATATGACTTGACATGGGCATGCGCCCATGGGTAACATGCCCTAGATGAGCATGATCGTAACACACCATATACAGATGACGATGTCAGCTGAAGAGACCATAGAATCGAGCCTTGATAGTTTGTTTTGGCTGAAGACGTTAATTTTCTTATTTTCAACTATAAAATAATTAACACAAATTCTTTTTTTAATAATTAAGGTCGTAAAATTTATTTTGAGACATGTGTCAATTCGTCGACCGTACTAGAATTATATAATACAAATTGGAATTTATGTTAATTTTAAAATATATATTCTTTTAGGATACAATTCTACGTTCGTATATTTTATTTTACGTAATTATATAATTATTTATTCTCTGCAAATTTCAATTAAATATTGAAATTTAAGTAAATAACTAGAATAATTCGAACCGTCTTAGCGTTAGGATTAAACGGTGACCGGTTAGAGATTTGGAGGACCATAAACCTAAAGTTCGACTTTCACTGAGTTCGTCTCAAAGTGTGGATGAACTGATAAAGTCTAAAAAATGTCACAACCCGACCCAACTTAACTTATGAGCACCCCTAGTATAAACTTCCTTTAAATCTTATTTCCGTTCGTGAGGTTTAAGGTTGGCCCAATTTTAAATTTTTAAATTTTTAATTATATTTTGATAATGATATATAATCGAGCTTTATCTATCTTCAATAAAAATTTGTTTTAATGAAAAATCATCGAATTGAATTGAATTGTAATTAAAAATGTTCGCGTTTAGTTTCTATTTGAAACATGTATAATTACGAGAATGTCCTTTTGTATTTATAATCAATTTTAAATGCATTAGACTATATTTTAAGAATTAATTTTTGTTTACTTAATTCAAATTTTTATACTTAAAACTAATATATATATATATATATATACAAAAAGTATTAAAAAGAAAAAGATTTAAAGAATATTATTTAATCGAGTGGGTCCCACAATTTTCAACGAGAAAATTCGCGATGTTTCCCAATTGAAAAGGTTTCGTGGGCGGCAATCCATAAGGCGATGCGAAGCGAAGTTATTCTGTATTTCCAAACCCTTTCCAGCTGATCAAATTCTCAGATTTTGATCTCTCATTGCCTTCTTTTTCTCCTCTTTAAACTGGTAAGATTCGCAGTTTAATTCTTCATTTTTTGTTGTAGAACCCATTTTTCTGATTTCTGCAATCATCATCTTCCTGTCGATTTAATTTTTTTTTTGCAAAATATGGACTGCTTTTTGATTCAATCGCGCTTGTTTAATCAAAGTGGTGAAACTCTTTGTTTTTCTGTCCAAATTATTGCTTGTTTGTAGTGTTAGAATGCGAAAGTGCATTTTCTCGTGGATGTTGTTTTGAACTTTCGACCTTCAATGATGAGTTCTTTTGCGTAGGTTGTATGGATTTTTTAAAGATTGAATTTCATCTAGAATTCGAGGATTGAATCCTGTTCTGGAAATTCCAAAATCTGAATAAAATGAGCTGTGGAACGAGGTAGCATCAAAACTATCAACGAAAACGATCGTTTCAAATTTCAGTATTTTAGGGGTTCCTTTTTGGATCTGGAATTTCAGGTTTTGAACCAATTATTTTGTGTTATGCATAACCTTCTTGGCCTTCCCGTTTTCTTAATATAAAATCAAAACTAATGATAAATGAGAGGTTGGCGAAAGATATTCTTGGCAATGCAGTGGGTGAAATGCTAAAGATCGTTTTCAGTTATGCTACTTGAGGCATTGCTATGGTAACACAGAAATGCATTGTTAAAAGCTTCATTAGTGCTGTTTGTGCATAAGACTGATTAGCGTTGCCCTTTTATCAGCACCTTTTGCGAACGATAGATGTTTTATCCCAAATATTTTAGTAATCTCTTGGACTTTTTGCCTCAACTCTTCGGTGTCATGGGATTTATAACATCTTGTAGCTTACTTTAGATGGGGTTCTTATCGTTGCTTCGATTTCTATAGCCGTGAATAGAATGCTCTCAAATTATATATCCATTACTGAACAACACAATTTGAATCTGTCCCCCAGCCTTATCTTGTGAAATGCTTTTATCATTTCATCGATAATCGTGATAGCCATTTACCTAGGGGTGTACATCCAACCTGACTACCTGGATCAACCAAGCCCGAATTATAGGGGTTGGGTTGGATTAGCATTTCGGGTTGGGTTGGATTTCTTGAACCCGAATAGACTCGGTTCGGTTTCGGGTTCATAGGAAAAACCTCGGGTTGACCCGAACCAAACAGAACTTATAAAATACATTAAGAAGTTAAACATGTTCATGGGTCGGTCAGAGTGATAATTGTGATAGCCATTTACCCCAATCCAGTGACATTCTCCCAGGAAACTGTGAGATCTGGAGAGCCTCTTTGTTTCACCCAGTTCCCCCACTTAATCTTCGAGTATAACTTTGTACGAATTACTTCTTGAAACGATGCTATGCCAATTTAAGCATAAGGGCTTATTCCAGGAAGTTTGGTACCCTTCAGTTATATATATATACTTTACGAAACAATACTTGTTTGATTTGCAATGCATTAACTGCATGTAACTTGTGCTGTTTTATCTTACTGACTTTAGAGAATGCTGCTCTTTCCTCTTTGTATTATTGTCCTATTTAACTATATTTTTATTGGATACTATAGGAAATAAGCACACGCTGGAATGCTACCACTGCTAGCTTACCAAGTGGTGACCCAATACAACAGGCTCCAGGGAAAGCCCATCACAGTGGGGCTCCTCGCCACTAATACTCTTATTCATCTAAGGCCCGGTTTTCTTCGTTCTGTCATCCCGTCCATAGATGATGTCTGGTTTAATGCGTATCTCATCCTCAAGGTGACTATTCTGGCTATTTAGTTATTACCCAATCATCTAATTTTATTACCAACTCTCTGTTTAGGATTAGGTAGCATTGTTGTCGTCATTGTGGTTTTCGCGCTTTATTTTAGGGTTTATAATTCTTTCTGTTTAGGACCCTTTTTGTTAACACGTTGTTAGCGAAGTCCTAAACAGAATGGCATGTCCCTTTTTCATTCAGCTGTATAACAAATTTTGTAGTTTATAGCGTCATTGTTACAAATAGGTTTTGTCTTTTTTTAATTGGAAAATCAGCTTGCATAGAGAAAATGGCATAAAACGATGGATTCTATTTGAATTTGTATGCTTCAACTGTAAGAAACGGTATGATTTTGAACGTTACAAGACATATCCAGATTGGTTTGTCCCCACATAGCTGTGTAATTTACAACCTTACAAGGCATCCTCGGAACGCGGTTATTATAAGGCAGTCTTCAAAGTATAATAACTCTGAATTTGAGAAAAATGAAAAGCACTCAAGAACTTCGACACTTCGATTGCTTCCCAATATTCTCAGTTTCTTGTTTTTTTACGATTGTATTCTTGCAATCTCTCTCGATAATGAACTGTTGTAGAATTATTCTCTTTTTAGTTATTTATTAATTTGTTTGTATGTCTTTTTGAATGAAATAATGTGATGTTTCATTGCGACACTCTCATAACATTGGTATCCTTTGCATTTGGCAGTACAAAGACCTCAAGCGTTTTTTTCTATCACCATTCTACCATGTGGGTGACTCACACCTTGCCTACAACATGATATCTCTACTATGGAAAGGCATTCAATTGGAATCATCAATGGGCAGTACGAAATTTGCCTCGATGGTTGGCGCGTTACTCGTAATGTCACAGGGAATTACCTTGTTGCTTGTCAAATCTCTACTATTCTTCAATTATGAGAGGCCATACTACCATGAATATTCGGTCGGGTTTTCGGGTGTACTTTTTGCTATGAAAGTTGTTCTTGGTTCTCAATCTGAAAGCTACACTTACGTTCATGGTGTAAGAGTACCATCAAGTCATGCTGCATGGTTAGAACTAATACTTATCCAAATAGTTTCACCTGGTGTCTCATTCCTTGGTCATCTAGGTGGAATACTTGCTGGTATTCTCTTTTTACGTTTGAAGGGTATGAATTCGGGGTCAGATCCATTGGCCGTTCTTATTAGAAGTGTTGGTCGAATATTGAGTCGTCCTCTTGGATTTTTCTGTCGCTTGAATCCATTTCGGCATCATAGGATTTTCGGAGGAGGAACCGTTGGTAGACGACAAACGAGTGTCGATACATGGAGGTGTCAAGCATGTACATTTGACAATTCTTGCTTATTACCCAGGTGTGAAATGTGTGGGACGGATCGGCAGGATAGGGCGATGCCTTCTCGTCGATTATCACATCGTTTTGATTTAACTCCAGAGGAGCTGCGTCGGAGGAGGCTTGAAAGATTTGGATGCTGATACAATATCACCAGGTATTTGCTCTTATTTGAAGGCATAGCAACGCAACTATATATCTTGGCAATGAAGATGTTTGCATATGTTGAGTAACGTAGCAATTTGATTGAATACATATGGAATAGTCTTGTACATATGGAACGAATTAATATACTTTACATTGTTTTTTTCTTTTTTACTTTCTTTATAATAGTTGGATATGGATTTAAAAATATTTGTACAATCTCTCACCCGCCCGTTCTCGATAACTTTTCTATCTTCGATCATCTTTTCAAAAGAAGAGTTATATTTCTTATTCCTTTGCTTTTAGGAGTTAGTTTGCTTCAAATGCTTGAAGCGAAATTGACATTTTAGCGATAGTACGAGCTAACTATAGGACACTCTACTAAAAGCCTACTGATAAAATAAGTTGGGTTTGTGAATATAATTTTTATATACTAGTTGGTTATTCACGAGTGGTTCGTAACTGCAGTTTTACCTAGTTCTTTCGTGAACAATTTGTTTATAATTTAATTATGAATTATGTTTTTCTTGTTGTTCAAAGTATACTTAAGAGAATTACGCATCTACTTATTTTACGAAGATTATGTTTCTAATTATCAATCAGGTTAATTCTTCAAAATCAATTGTGAAAATATATCATGAATTTAGTTTGTAACTCACTTGCATATGAATATGACGTCAAATATTAATCTTTTCAATTAACAAATAAATATTAATCTTCTCGATTAATAAATCTATAAAGAGGGATCAAATATTTTGTACGTAGACTTATACATAAAATAATCAAAATTATTATTAAAAATTAAAATTATTGGTTCCTAACAATTGAATGCTAATTTCAAAATTTTAACCAATTTTTTTTTTCTTTTGGCTATTTTTGATGAATATTTTTAGATTAAATTAGTATTAGATGAAGTTAGGCATTATTATTATTATTATTATTATTTTGGTGAAATTTAATTTCATATAATTACTGAAAAGGGTAAAAATGTCATTGTCTCCTACGCAATCCCAATAAAATAATGAACAATAATTATAAAAATAAAAACAAATTTAAAATAAGATTAAAAAAATTAGGGGTAAAATAGAAATTGGCATTACCAACCATCCCTCACAAATCCCCTCCTACTCCGTCCGTGTGTTGCTCATCGTTAACCGCCGCCGCTGCGCGTCGATTACAAGTGCATCTCTCTTCCACATCCAAGCGAGGCGGCGGAGATGGCTGGCGGCAGGTCGCCGTCCGTTGTGAATCGTGGTTTCCTTCTTCAACGAATTAAGTCTTGTCGCCATAAATGTCCCACCGTCGACGACATCGTCGAGCATCTCCAGTCCACTTACCGGGACTACCGAGGCCTCAAGAAGTCACCTTTCACTTTAATCGTCCAACAAACCCTCGACTCGCAGCTCACAAAGAGCCCTAAATCCATTCCTTCTACTTCCACCAGCAAAATCAAGCGCCAATTGCAAGATTCTGAAGATGAAGGCGCAGATTGCAGTACCATTGGAAAGAAGCGGCATAGGAGAGTCGACGTACGCGAACAGCGGTTGCAGAGTTTGGAGAATATGCACCTCAGGAGGATACAACGTAGCAATCAGGATGATTCGTCTTCATCGTCTTCGTCTTCTTCGTCGGATTCTGATAATAGTGGCGATGGAGCGTTGTCGACATCGGAGGATGCCATTTACGGGGAAAAGGTAGAGCCGGAGTTCGATCTGATGAAGTCGATGCTCCGAACATCTTATGCAGAGTCAAAGAAATCGAAGAACGAGCATTTGGAGAAGAGTATGGAGTTGGAAGTTGCCATAGATAATAAGGTTGCTGAAAAGATTTGTGTGGGGAATGCAAGCAAGGGGGTATTGCAGAAGGAGACACAGGATTCTCTTAATGGGACAGAAATTGAAACAGGTGAAGCGAAGGATGAAGGGCCAAGGTTTAAGGATTTGGGAGGGATGAAGAGTGTGCTAGATGAATTGAAGATGGAGGTGATTGTGCCACTCTACCATCCACAGCTGCCACTGTGGTTGGGGGTTCGGCCGATGGCTGGAATTTTGCTACATGGCCCCCCTGGTTGTGGGAAGACAAAATTGGCTCATGCCATTGCAAATGAAACCGGCGTGCCTTTCTATAAGATTTCCGCCACGGAGGTCGTGTCGGGTGTATCAGGTAGATAGGTGTTTATCTTGCGAAAGTAGTTGAAATTGTGTGCTTGAGTGGTAAAACCATATGGTTATATAGATGTGGAGATATGAATTTTGGTTATGAGATAGTATAAACATGCTTGCAATATGTCATGTTATGTTTTACTTACTGTCAAGAGTTAAGCTTTTCATTTTAGAAAATTAATTGTATGATTATCAATATAATTGTTAGTCTTAAACTCAATAGGTCTTAAGGAAATTGGTATTCTATGTTGTCTAATCTTGATTTTTCCACAGTTCCAACACTACATATGTTTTCTTAATGATACTTAAATCGTTAAACTTACAAATTTGGATTTGTGGTACTTATTTGTAATATATGTGTACATTTAACGGATCATTTGAGTTGATGAAAAGTTCTCACTTAAACTTCAATTGTAGCAATTTTGGACACTTTTACTACTATTACAAGTTTCACTTTTCTATGATGCTTGATCTTTTTTCTTTCAATGTTAATGTTCTCCATTTCCTCTTAATTTGTTCTTTCTTTTTGTTCTGGTTTCAGTGCCGAATATTTTGTTTTTTGTGTTCGATTATTTCAAATAATTAATATTTGTTGGTGCATTTAGGTGCATCGGAAGAAAATATTAGAGAGCTTTTTTCCAAAGCGTATAGGACAGCACCCTCAATTGTTTTTATTGATGAGATTGATGCAATTGCATCAAAGAGAGAAAATCTACAGAGAGAAATGGAGAGACGGATCGTAACACAATTAATGACTTGCATGGATGGGTTCCACAAACTTGTAGATTCTACTGATGCAAGTTCAAAGAAAGATAATTCCAATGTTAGACCAGGCTATGTTCTTGTAATTGGTGCTACCAATAGGCCTGATGCTGTTGATCCTGCATTAAGGAGGCCTGGTCGTTTTGATCGTGAGATTGTATTAGGTGTTCCAGATGAAAATGCAAGGACTGAAATTCTCTCTGTCCTTACCAGCAACTTGAGACTCGAAGGTTTGTTCGATCTTCTAAAAATAGCTAGGGCGACTCCTGGGTTTGTTGGAGCTGATTTGACAGCATTAGCTAATAAGGCTGGTAATCTTGCCATGAAGAGAATAATTGATCAAAGAAAATGTGAATTATCTTCTGATGTTGTTGATAAGGAACATATGGAAGATTGGTGGAAGCAGCCTTGGTTGCCTGAAGAGATGGACAAATTGGCTATAACCATGACTGACTTTGAGGTGATCAAACATATATGTATTTTTAATGATTCTTATTTCATGAAACTCACTGATTTTTTCTCAAATGAATGATATTGACTAGATTTGTCATTTTCTCTTCTATGTTGTTACATTCTACAGGAAGCAATTCAAATGGTACAACCTTCACTGAGAAGAGAAGGGTTTTCTGCAATTCCTAGTGTAAAGTGGGAAGATGTTGGAGGCTTAGAACAACTAAGAGCAGAGTTTGATCGCTATGTAGTTCGGCGTGTAAAGTATCCAGAGGATTATGAGGTATTTATTTTGGGATTTTCTTTTGATATTTAATAAATCATTATTTTTGTTTCATCTTTTCCTCTAGCTTGTAATTTCATATTCTCGTTCAGTTGAATTAGAGAACAGTTTCTATTGTAATGCTTTGGTTTAGGTTTTTCAGGCTTCATGATCAATAGTTTTGTAAGTTTCATTTCAAATGAAATATTATTTAGGGTCTGTTTGGCATGCAATCTAAATTCTTTTTTATGTTTTCAGTGAATATTTGTTTGGCACACTTATTCTTTAATTGCATTGCATTTGGCTTTTGTGATCCAAATAATTGAAATTTTGGAAACGACATTTTTATGCGTTCATTGTATCCAAAGTTCGAATTTAAAATTTTGAAATGCAGAATTACAATTAGAAAGATAAAACTTTGATAAGTATAGCATTTAACATACTATAAATTCTATGATATTTTGTGATAATAATAATATGAACTTTTTAAACATAAACCATATCCGTAGGTTAATTAATATTAATTGAAATTCAACCTAATATTTAGTTGGTAACTAGAACTATTTTTATGGGTTATAACTATATATTATGAAACACATTCTGGATGATTGTTTAAATTGGAATCCAAATTCCAAACCTACTGCCAAACATATAATAAAAACACTGGAAGCATGAAATACAACTTTGTTATTCATTGAATTCCTTGTTTTCAAATTTCTATTTTCAGACTACTATCCAAGTGCATCTTTAATTTTTGTCATCAAGTATATGGACTTTTTTATGCTTCTTTTCTACAGGGTTGAGAATTTCCAGTGGGTTGTTCTTATGGCATTTTGTCATTTTTTTCTTAACCTGTTCTTGGTTCTAGGGCTTTGGTGTGGATCTAGAGACGGGATTTTTGCTATATGGTCCTCCAGGATGCGGTAAAACACTAATTGCTAAGGCCGTTGCAAATGAGGCTGGAGCCAACTTCATTCACATTAAGGTTCGGTATTTAAGTGATTCAAATGAGGCTGGAGCCAATTTCATTCACACTAAGGTTCGGTATTTTTGTAATAACCCTTCATTTGTTGCACAGGGGCCCGAGTTACTAAATAAATATGTTGGAGAAAGTGAACTTGCAGTTCGGACACTATTTAGTCGGGCAAGGACGTGCGCACCATGCATTCTATTCTTTGATGAAGTATGACTCGTGCATTACTATTTGCTAGTTATGTTGTTGATGATCATTTTTGTATTTGACTTACCATGCTCTAAAATGGATGATGATCCAAATCTTCCCCTTTCTCTAGAATGGTTATGAATGAGTGGCTGATTGATAGAAGCAAGGTTTTTTTTTTCTCTCTTATCCTTTTTTTTATTATTATGTTTCCAATTGTTTGTAGGTGGATGCCTTAACAACAAAACGTGGCAAAGAAGGGGGATGGGTTGTGGAGCGATTATTGAACCAGGTTTGATGAAGCGTCTTGCAATGCATTTTATGATTTTATTGTGCTTAGGGTCTTTCTTCTTCTTGTTTTTTACTTTCTATCCTTATTTAGATTTCATTAGTTCAGTGTGGTTAAACGGATCCACTTCATTTT